GGCTTGGCTGAAATTACCAGCATTTTTCACAATAGACCTGGCACCTACCAGACTCCCAAAGACTGGTAATCAGGCTAATCTGACATATATATCCACATGTATATAAACATGTATTTGCAGAAAGAATAACACAAATATGTCAAAATGTGATAAAATGGCAAATTCTGTATAAAGGCTGTACAGAAGTGCTCTATAATTGCATATGACACTAATTCAATTCAAGTATCTGGTGAATACTTGGATTTCAAGAATAAGGATATATCTGTAGAATGCCAAATGTCAGAATAAAGGTAAATGACTAAAGTACAGAAAAACCAATTTGGGCTCCAGAAAACATGGACCAGCTTTGAGAAATGGGCAGCTGTTCTCAGGACTAGCCACCTGACCACCAAAGCTGCCAGCCCTGAAAACAGCCCCCTGAAGCAGAGGCTGCAGAGCAGGTTCAAGCCCAGGAGACAGCTAGAGTACCCTTCAGTGCCTTCCTAATTCTGAGAGATCAAGACTCTAGCATCACAGAAAGAACACTACAGAAAAACAAGAAAGACTAAAAATGAAGAGATCTGAACACTAAATTCAGAATGGTCAACAAAGATCAAAATAAACACTCCAAAACCAGTTGATTTTCTAGGAGCTCATGTAAATGCTAAATTTAATTCCATAGAAAACCTGATTATGACTAGGTCAGTAAAAAGGAATGAAAAACATAGACATTCTAATATCTGTGAGTAAAAATGGAAAAACACTAACAACCAAGTACCTGAAACCAGTTGCTTAAAAATAAATATAAGTACGAAAAAAAGAGGGATTCATTGGGATTCTAACATGTTTCCCATTAGAAGATAAATGAATGAAATTTATTATATTAATAGTGTAAAGGAAAAAAAAGTTAATCATCAATAGTCACCCAAAGAGACACTGGTAACATTTAACAACCATTCCTGATTTTAAAAATCATAAAAATCCAACTTACGAATAGAAAGAAACTGTCATAATTTGTAAGGATACATAACAAAAACCTTAAATAAAGCTATTCCCTCAAAGGAGATTGTGAGACTACAGTCCATTCCTCCTCTTTCCTCTAGCTTCCCAACTATGTGGTGAGTAGTTTTGCTCTACTGCATCCTCCCACCATGATGTGCTGCCTCACCAAAGGCCCAAAAGCAACAAGACCAACTGACCATGGGATGAAATCTCTAAAACCATAAGCCAAAATATACCATTTCTCCTCAAAAGTTGATTACATCAAGTATTTCTTTCCTATAATGAAGGAAACCTAACACACGAATGAAAAAATTAACTATATCTACATACAAATATATATCTCAGAATTTGTGGGATGCCACTAAAGTAGTACTTGGGTAGTTTACAGCACTATATGTCTCTATATTACAAAAAAGAAAGTTCTGGAATCAATGGCTTCAGTTGTCCCATTTAAGAAACTAGAAAAAGAGCAAATTACAAAGTAAGCAGGAAAAAGTGAAAAAAATCCATGTGTAAATCAGTGAAATACAAAACAGAAGAACAGAGGAAAATCAATGAAACCAACACCTGGTTCACCTTTGAAGATCAATAAAATTTACAAACTTCTAGCATACTGATCAGAGAAAAAAAAAGAAATTACCACTAACAGAAATCAGGGAGCATCATACAGACTGAACACATGCTAAAAATAAAGAGACTGGATTTGAAGGTATATTACATAGCTACAGTGATTAAAAAAAAAACAACAGTATGGTGCTGGCACAAAAACAAACATGTGAATCAATAGAAGATAGAGGATGCAGAAACAACCCCAGGCACATTTGCCTATCTGATCTTTGACAAAGGAGCCAAAATATGCTGGAGGAAAGATAATCTCATTAGCAAATGGTGCTGGGAAAACTAGCTATAAACATGCAGAAGGGTGAGGCTAGACCCATGTTTTTTACCATGTACTAAAAAAAATCAAAATGGATCATATATCTAAATATTAAAACAAAAACACTTAAAATGGATAAAATTCTTGAAGACAAAGGCATAGGCAAGGACTTTCTCAACAGAACCCCAACTACAACAAGAAATAACATCAAGAATCAACAAACAGGGTATATCAAATTTAAAAGCTCCTGCACAGCAAAGAAAACCAACAAATGAAGAGACAACCCCTACAGAATGGGAAAAAACTGTTTCCAGCTAAATTTCAGACAGAATATGTAATATATATAATATATATATATTTTATAGACTACACAAAGAACTCAAAAAATTAGGCTCTGCAAATAAAAGACCCAATCAAAAGTTGAGCAACAGAAATGAACACCCTTCTCAGAATAAGAAATACAAATGGCCAATATTTACACAAAAAATGTTCAATATCTCTGGCCATTAGAAAAATGAAAATTAAAACCACACAGATTCCATCTTACTCCAGAAAGAATGGCTATTATCAAGAAATCTAATAACATGCAGTTCTTCAACTTCAGAGTGCTTGAGGACCTCACTGTGTAATACTGCAGTTCAGAAAAAAGGAAGAGAGCTAAGTATTTGAGAAAATGCTTCTTTTTGAATTGATGTACAGTCTCTATCAATAACCTAGAAAATGTTGAACATCTTATAAGAGAGAGAGTTCACTGACAGGTGTGTGCTTAGGTGATAAAGCAAACAGTGTTAGAGCAAATGGAAGATTTCTTGGACTTTAGAGAGTTACAGGAAACTTGTAAGTGGGGTTGGTTACAAAATAAAATTGCTGAAGTAAATGCAAAACAAAAGAAATTCTCAGAGAATTCAGAGGAAAAGGACCAAATAAACTAAGATACAAAAAAGGAGAAAAAAAGGAGACGTAAAGGGCCCTTCCAGGAGGTACCATCTAACTATAATAAGAATACCTTAAACAGAGGACAAAGCAAATGAAGCTGAAATAATAATTAAGGAACTAGGTAAAGAAAAATTTCCAGAACTGAAGAATGAAGTAGGCCTGAACATGAAGAAGGCTCATGGGGTACCTTTAAAATGTAATGAAAATAAAACAATGATTAGACATAGCCTGGTGGCTTTTTTAAATTTCAAAGATAAAGAAAAAATTCTGCAAGTATCCAGAGAAAGCAGGTTGCCTGACTATAAAAGGGCAAAAGTCAGATGACCTCAGTTTTTTTTCTACTGAAAAATGGAACATCTACAAAGTTTTAAGGGAAAATAATTTTGAATCAAAAATTATATGCCCTGCCATGTTAGTATTTGTGTATGAAGGCAATGGGAAGACATTCTCAGATACCAAGAGGTTAAGAAAGTATACTGACAAAGAACTTCCTTTGAAAAATTTGCTGAATGATTTATGGCAGCAGACAGAAAAATTATTAACTATTTTAACAACAGTTATTTTATAACAGAAAAATTAAAAAGAGTAGGGAGATAACTATATGAAAGACTTGAAACTGTCAAACTACATGCCAAATATCCAATGTATTGGGCAAATAACTAGTTTTATTTTTGCCATGTAACATTATAGATAAAGATGCATGTTAAGCCAAACATATGTTAGATAAAAGTGCTTTATCACTGTGGACAGGACAAATAAAGACATTCTAAATGTTAATCTGAGAAAATGGGAAAATGGTACTGTATTATTTCCCTTTAAAAACAACTAGCAAGTTCATATACTAAAACTGATTAAACTAAAGCCATGCGGATATTATGAAACAACTAGAAGGTGTAACAGAAGAGAAGTAGAAAATATTACTTACTGAAAATATTAACAAGAAACATGTAAAACTAATATGAAGAAAACTCTACAACATTCCTAAAAGCATACAAGTATTTTTGAAAAAATTGAAAATCATTCAACATTCTTGGGTGGGACAATTTAACAATAAAAAGTCTAACCACCTCACATGACTGTATATATTCAACATAACTGTAATAAAAATGCCAATAAGCAAGGAAAATTTAGAAATCTTCCTGAATCAAAAAGCAAAGAACAACCCTGGGTGTGGCTGTGCATGCCTGTAATCCCAGCACTCAGGAGGCTGAGGCAGGAGGGTTGCTGTGAGTTTGAGGACAGCCTATGCTAGAGACACAGCCTAGCTGTGAGTTCAAAGAAAGCCACCACTTCTGGCTCTAGTGGCATTCTTAACCCTCGATGAAATCTTGCATTACCAACAATGAAACAACCTGACATTATATGCCTTTTAATATGATGCAAAATGAAGTATAGATGATTTCTCCTATTAACTATCCTTACCAAACATGTTAAATCTATGCAAGTCTTTACATCAAACTAAGTTTAGGGGCCGGGGATTTAGCTCAGTGGTTTCGCCGCCTGCTGCCCAAGCGAAAGGACCTGAGTTCAATCCCCGGTACCAAAAAAAAAAAAACTAAGTTTACACGGTACAGAATGATACCAAAAGGAAATAAGACAAATCAAAATAGGAGCATTCATTCTACATTCCTTTTCTGTAACTTAGCTTGAGCTGCCTTCTCTCCTCTCTCTAGCCCAGACTCTGACTTGGCTTTGGCAAGTGTGACAAACACTGATGCACTCACTACACACAGGGGAAAGACTGTTATCACTTTATTCTCTTCCTGGATAGGTCTTACACTGAACCTATTGGCACATTTAAAAATTTCTTTGCAAAAGAAGTAAGAATCTTTGGAGGAGTGGGAAAAAAATAAGGAAATATCAGCAGCAAAGATGAGTAAAAACTACATACAAAAGGTTGACTTATGGTAGAAAATGAGGTAGAGCTAGAAAGCTAAAAATAGTCACTCTATCCAAGGTATCTCACAATTCCTACACTGAGACAGAGTCAGGGAACCCAGTGGATTATAAAGAAACCAGGTAAGAGAATGATTTTAACTCATATATAGAAATTGGTTCCCTATTCTCTACAACCCATTTTTTTTTTTGTACCAGGGATCGAACTCAAGTCCTTGCACTTGTGCAGCAGGCGTCGAAACCACTAAACTAAATCCCCAGCCCCAATCTTTTTAATTTCATAATGAAACACAAATTGAATTAACTTCACCTTTCATGGTGAAGAGATTGTGAAATGTACCACACAGGAAGAAAACTCCCCCGCCATGCATGTCAATGTGGAGTTGGTAGCCATACAGTCCATACTCTGGGTTGTCATCCAGAAAGGGAACATGAGGAGGCAGCTCATAGGGGCTGAAAAAGCAAAGCACAAACACAAATTTGTCAATATCAGAGGTAAAATATTCAGATTGAAAATCCTTCTAAAAAAATTAACATCTGGGCCAGGGATTTAGCTCAGTGGTTCCACCGCCTGCCTCGCAAGAGCAAGGTCCCGAGTTCGACCCCTGGGACCAGAAAAAAAAAAAAAATTAACATCCATGCAAAGCACTGCCTCCTACCAATGAAACACTATAGCAATCCCAATAATCTTCCATTTCAAGAATTCAAAAGTATTACTCCATGTTACTCTTACCAACTTCTATTAAAATAGCCACAAATATGAGTTCCACAGAGGGCCATAAGACTACCACACTTAATGTGTTTCTACAGTTTTTCTACAGTGAATGTTTTTCTGCAGCAGTTCTACATAGGCCACTCCAGCCCCAGTGTAATTCTTACGGCTAGAGGTCGGGAGATATTCAGCAAAAAAAATGCATCAAACAATCTATAGGCTAGGGACCTGGGTGAAGACTCAAGCCAAGATGCACAATGCTTGTTCAATAAGAAATAATTCATCACATAAGTTAACACATGTGAAAGCACTCAGGGGCCCTTCAGACAATAAAAATGGAATAAGACCAATGATGAATGTCACTATATTGTATACTTAATAAATCTCTGCTTTTCTTACTAAAAAAAAAAAAAGAAGGGTAAGAGAGAGTCTACTTCCACAGGGGAAAGGTGACTGCAGGGAAACAGAAAGTATATGCCCCACCTAATAACGTTCAAATGCATTAAAAGACACCCAAACAAAACACATCTGCAGACCAGATTTAGCCAGTCTGTGTGCTTTGCAAAATACAAAAATTCAAGTAAGTGCAAGACTTTGAAGGATAGGGATAGAATCTTGTAGTAATGAAGCATTCCTGCTTATATAAATAATATTCTACTAGGTATAAATTTCTAAACCAGAATAAATAAAGCAAATATATATTCATGCATAATTCAATTAAAAGCTGCTAAATAGTTACACATGTTGGTTTGTGTCTACTGATTAAAAACAGAATATCTTTGTAGCTATTCTCAAGATATTTAGATGATATCAACTTGTAACCTTCTGTACTATGGTAAAAAAATTTAATTCAATGCATATACATACACAGTGGCTGAACCTAATGTGCTCCTCTCCACAAGATGATGGAAATGAAGATTTGCCATGACAAAAGCCAGTTCTTCTTTCTTCTGAAAAGTTAATTAAAAAGAATACATTTTTCAACTGAAATATTTTAATTTTTCACAAGGTCATTTTGAAGATTGTAACACATTCATCTTGCAGATACATCCAGTTTCTTACAGCTATAAGATCACCACAGTACTAAAGCATTATTACTGCTAATATATTATTACTCTCTAATAGACTTATATGTCTTACTGATAGCAGGGTGTATAGTACCAAAAGAATTAACACCCTCATACCTGTGAAATATCAAAATACAATTCTACGCTGTTTTGAACTGTTTCAAAGGTAAGCACTGGAAAGACCTTCACAGATACCAGGTACCAGATTACTTCTAAAAATACTAAACATTACTAGTGTAACTGTTCCTCTCTCAAGTGACTGCTTAATTCTGCAAAGACAGTGGAAATGACCACACACAGCTTCCTCATCTGCCCCTCAGGTTGGACAGCAGAAAATAAGACTATTCAGGAGCTGATCCACTCCACCCGACTCACAGCTGACACTGACTGGTGTAGGGACCCTCAAAGGGTAACCCTGTCAATGCCACTTTCTACTGGCCAGGCAGAGGACAAGCAGATCAACCAGACAGTCCATGTAGCTCTGCAGGTCAACACAGATCAATGATTCAAGTCATGAAACGCAGAGCAAGCAAACTGCTGCCTCACTCACAAGTCACCTTCACACAAAAAGGGAAGGAAAGAAAGAAAAACTGACTGCCACAGTTCACTGAGAAAAGAAAAAGACGCAAGAGAATGATGCCGCATGAAGCTGTAGATCTTGATGCTGTGTAGTCAGTGAATACAGGGTCACAGTGTTATTCTCAGAGTCAAATTTGTGAACTATTCTCTTAAAGCATCCACAGCCAAAGCTACTTACTTAACCCAATCCTGGTATACAGAAGTCCTTCATACTATTCTGCTTTTCACTAAGTGCCCAGAAAATAACCCCCAGAGGAAGGAGTTAGCAATCAGTCTGACCTGTTGAAATAAAAAACCTATATAGAGGGAAAGGATAATTTCTCAGATGCTCAGCCCTGAGAGAGCAGAGTATATCCCACGCCATATCCACAGGTCAGAAGCACGCTTGTGAGACAACCATAGTGAACATCCTAGAGAGGAACTGTGGCAGAAAAAGGACAGTAAAGAAAAAGAAGGAACATGAAATCATTGAAAGGGAGAAAGGGGGAGTCGTATGACATTAAAAGAATAACATTAACAAAACAGGAAAGCAGGAGTGGTTTGTCATCTGCAACAGAAGCAGAACAACAGAACAGAAGGTTATATAGCTAGGAAAATAAAGTTGGTAAAGAGGCAGCTGCTGAAAAGTCTTCAAGGAGTTTCATTTAGTCTCGTACATAACTGTGAGCAAACGTGAGGCAGTGAGGGTGAAACAGCACAGTACACACAGGACTCAATCTTACCTTCCATAGCCCTACCACAAGACCAGGGCTTAAGCTGAAGATCCGAATGATTCTGTCACAGCCAATCATGGTGGATTCAGTTAACTGACTCAGATCATACTGTGCAATTAAAGAATACCATCGAGGTCTTTGAACATCCATGCCAAAGAAAAGACAGAGAGAAAAATAAGATTTCCTGTCTGTTATTGCCAATTCTCATTAGTGTACCTAAAAATGTTTTTGAAGAACAAATTATATACACTAATGTGCTCAAACTAAGTGACACAATCATGGAATAGAGACACAAAAAACTTGTATAAATAAAAGGCAAAATGGAGCCATTTAAATTTCTCATCCTACTATGTTTTTCTTCCCTTCCCTCTTGCTCTTATTGTCAACTCAACCACCTAGTCAGAAGTAGTTCAAGAATCAGGACGGTGAAGAAGTGACAGAATCATCTTCCATACTTTTCTCTCCAAACACCCAGGACAACAGTACAAGCAAAATTCAACACTCAGTATGTATTCCTAATCCAGTGAGTGAAATAATGCATAAGCAAAGATAAAGTACTTTAACATAAAAACAGGTGGTCTCAGTAGGCTATCTGAAAGCACATGTGCCTTTCAAAGTTATTCTCAGGGAAAATTCAGAGATGAGTAAATTGAAACATTAGCAACTGAATTTAAACCAAAATCGGGAGTATTTTCATGAAGGAGACACACTGTGAACTCACAGTCTCAAATGTCTAAGAACAAACACTCAAATGTGTAAGAAAAGACAATTTGACTCTGCTTTCACTGTAAGACTTACAGACACCCAGAGTGAAACATTCTATAAGCACTACAAGTGGTAGACATAGGCGTCTGTCATTCCAGGAACCTAGAGATGATTCAGAAATGAATAAAGGAGATCTCAATTGTCAACCATCAGAAGACAGCATTGGACCAAAGTCCTGCCCCCCAGCACCTAATGCACAGGCCAGTAGGTGGTAAATATGCAGACGTTTATTCAGTAAAAAAAATTTAAATAGTCAGTATAGCACTGTTTCAAAGCAAAGGGAAGGCTATAAGGTATTACAAATTCACAGCTGCTATACTACTGATTTCAACCTTTCAAAAAACTCCTTGTGCTCTCTACTTCCTGCTGCCATGGCATGAACTGCTTCTCCTCTGCCATGTCCTTCTTTCTGTCATGCTGACTTGGAGCCAGCCAACTATGGACTGAAACCTCTCCTCTTTTAAACTTGTTGGGACAGCTCCCAGCACAGAGGAGGTTTCCAGGTCAGCATGCCACAGCTCCCAGTGCAGACGAGACTTCCAGGAAGGCATGCCACACCTCCCAGTGCAGAGGAGGCTTCCGGGTCAGCATGCCACAGCTCCCAGCACAGAGGAGGCTTCCGGGTCAGCATGCCACAGCTCCAAGGGCAGAGGGGGCTTCTGGGTAGGGGTACCACAGCTCCGAGGGCAGAGGAGGCTTCCGAGTAGGCGTGCCACAGCTCCCAGGGCAGATGAGGCTTCCAGATCAGCGTGCCACAGCTCCCAGCACAGAGGAGGTTCCAGGTAGGCATGCCACAGCTCCCAGGGCAGAGGAGGCTTCTGGGTAAGTGTGCCACAGCTCCCAGAACAGAGGAGGCTTCCGGATCAGCATGCCACAGTTCCCAGGGCAGAGGAGGCTTCTGGGGAGGCGTGCCACAGCTCCCAGCACAGAGGAGGTGAGCTGCATGGGAGCCAGCAGCACCCCCCAATCCCCATCGAAATGAGAAGACACGTAAACAAGCCTCAGAACCAGACGTCCAGATCACTTACAGCAACCCCAAAGGGAAATGAGATGGAACACTCTGATACTCAACCACCTGGACTCCCTGAACTAGCAACGAAAGAGGATCTAGAAAAAAATGAAATCAGAAATAATTTCTCACATAACAGCAGAGTTTGTGCCCATAGTGCAAGACATGATAAATAAATCTAGAGAGGACACAGACAAAAAACTAGAGGAGCTGAGGAACATGATGGAATCCCAACATAGGAAACAAATGGAATCCACAAAACAAATGCAAACAGATTTCCAGGAGATTAAAATCTGCACTGAAAGCTTACGCAGAAGAATGAGCCAATGTGAAGACAGAATTTCAGATACAGAAGATAAGATTGCAATTACTGACCAGGAAAAGAAAAATTTCTTTAAAATTGTAAGGGACCATAAGATATCAATCCAGCAGCTGCTAGATGATGTAAAGAAGAATAACATAAGACTGATTGGAGTCAATGAAGAAACAGGAGAGAGTGCAGATGAAATAAAAAAACTGTTCACAGAAGTGATGGCAGAAAACGTCTCAAGCAGTGGAAAAGAACTTGACATACAGATAAGTGAGTCATATAGGACTCCAACTAGCCTTAATCAAAAAAAAATATACACATAGGCATGTAATTTTTAAGATTCCAGAAACCCAACAGAAGAACAAAGTTCTACAAGCAGTTAGAGAAAAGAAACAACTCACATACAAAGGAAAGCCCATCAGAATCACAGCAGACTTCTCAACGCAAACCCTCAAGGCAAGAAGAGGTTGGAGTGACGTATTTCAAGCCCTAAAGGAAAACAGCCTCCAACCCAGATTGATGCACGCTGCAAAACTATCTTTCAAAATTGATGGTGAAATAAGATGCTTTCATGACAAACAGCACCTCAGGAACTTCATGAATACCAAACCAGCACTAAAAAAAATTTTAGACAAAATTCTAGGAAAAGACAATGAGGATTACAAACCCAGGAAGCAGAATGAATCCATCGGGCACAACAAGAAATTAAAAGCAAAGGGGGAGAATGGAACAAAAAGAAAAAATAATGACAATGATAACTCAATATGTATCCGTTATAACTATCAATGTTAATGGTCTCAACTCATCAATCAAAAGAAATAGACTAGCACAATGGGTCAAGAAGCAAGATCCAACAATATGTTGCACACAAGAAATACACTTAATTCAAAAGGAAACTCATAGACTGAAAGTTAAAGGGTGGAAAAGAATACTCCATGTGATAGGAACCAGAAAAAAAAACAGGAGTAGCTATTCTTTTTGCAGAACAAGTGGATTTCAAACCAACACTGATTAAGAGACACAAAGAAGGACACTACATCCTTGTAAAGGGAACAATCCAAGAGGAAGAGATGACAATTATAAATACCTATGCTCCAAACACTAGTGCGCCCAACTATATAAAAGAATTACTAATGGACATGAAAAATCATGTAAGCACTAATACAATAGTAGTGGGAGACCTCACTACCCAACTGTCACAAATAGACAGATCAACCAGACAAAACAAAAGCAATGAAATACTAGAACTCAAATTCTTGAACAAATGAACTTAACAGATATTTACAGAGTGTTCCACCCCACAAAATAAGAATACACACTCTTTTCAGCTGCACATGGGTCGTTTTTCAAAATAGACCACATACTTGTTCATAGAACAAATTTAGGTAAGTGCAAAGGAATTGAAGTTATCCCCTGTATATTATCAGATCACAGTGGGATGAAATTGGAGATCAATAGTAAAAGAAACTGCAAGAATTTCATTAAAACATGGAAATTGAACAACACATTTCTGAATAACCAATGGGTCACAGAGGAAATTAAAGAAGAAATCAGACAGCTCCTTCAATTAAATGACAATGACAATACAACATATCAGAATATATGGGACACAATGAAAGCAGTCTTACAAGGGAAATTCATAACAGTGAATACTCACATTAGGAAAACAGAGCGAGCTCAATTAAACAACCTGATGCTGAATCTCAAGCTTCTAGAAAAAGAAGACCAGGACAAACCCAAAGCCCATAGAAAGGAGGAAATTATAAAGATCAGGGCAAAAATCAATGCAATGGAAACTAAAAGAACGATACAAAAAAAAATCAATGAAGCCAAGAGTTGGTTCTTTGAAAGAATAAAATCTACGCAGTTAGGAATGAAAAGGGTGAAATTACAACGGACCCAGCAGAAATCCAGAGCATCGTCAATACCTACTTTGAGAACCTATACGGCAATAAGATGGAAAACACAAAAGAAACGGACAGATTCCTAGACATGTATGAACTACCAAAGCTGAATGATGAAGACTTAAAAATTCTAAACAACTCAATATCAATCAATGAAATTGAAAACATAATTAAAAACTTAACAACTAAGAAAACCTCGTGTCCTGATGGCTTCACTACTAAATTCTACAAGACATTTAGAGAGGAACTACTGCCACTACTGTTTAAACTCTTCAACGAAATTGAAAGGGAAGCAATACTCCTGAATTCATTCATGGAAGCAAGCATTACCTTGATCCCCAAAGCAGAGAAAGAACCAACCGAAAAAGAGAACTACAGGCCAATCTCAGTGAATATAGATGCAAAAACCCTTACTAAGATACTAGTAAACAGAATGCAGAAGATCATCAAGAAGATCATACATCTTGACCAAGGGGATTCATCTCAGGGATGCAGGGATGGTTCAACATACATAAATCAATCAATGGAATACACTGTATCAATAGAGTCAAGGACAAAAATCATATGATCATCTCAATAGATGCAGAAAAAACATTTGACAAAATCCAACATATATTTATGATAAAAACCATACAAAAAGTTGGAATACATGGTCTCTACCTCCATCTGATAAAAGCCATCTATGAAAAACCAACAGCCAATATCGTACTAAGTGGTCAAAAACTGAAATCCTTCACACTAAAATCAGGAACAGGACAAGGATGTCCACTATCACCACTCCTGTTCAATATAGTTTTGGAAACATTAGCCATGGCAATTAGACAACACAAAGAAAGAAAAGGAATAAAAACAGGAAATGAAGAAGTCAAATTGCCATTATTTGCAGATGACATGATACTCTATATAGAAGACCCCAAGAACTCCACCAAAAGTCTTCTAGACTTAATAACCAAATTCAGTAA